GTGAGGTCCGGAGACCTCAGTTGCCACCTGGTGAGGGTGCCTCGGGACATGAGTCCTCCCCCCCCGAAGCGCTCCTGTAGCCACTGGAGGGTCACAATAGCTGCATGAGCGGGGGCAACATCCTGCTGCAGCCACTGCTCGTTGATGGTGTCCACACACTTCCGCTGGAGCGCAGTCCAGAACTTCTTGAGCACGTCCGGCAAATAGCGCTTCGCCATCACCGTGAGGACGTCGCCCGCGTCATCTTCGATCCAGATTGGGCTGCATGGTGCGCGTGCTGCTCACAGCGCACCATGCAGTGCATCGGGGCGGGTGCAGCTGATCTTCTGCGACCTCGTCCTGGGCCTGCTCGCTCCAGATCCGGTTGTCCAAATCAGATCCAGATCCAGATCCAGATCAGCGTCTTTGTGTCAAAACAACTGAATTGGCTTCGAAGTAGAAATGCACTATCTTAGCCTTTTCCTTCATGTCAGTAAAACGGCGTGATTAATGAAAGCACCGATGCTGTCAATCAAATTTCCTAAAACTATTCTTTCGTCTCGTGTATTGAACACGTGCATTTAAATGCAGTAAATACCTCCAAATATCAAAGCAAATGTGTCAGCATTTTCAGAAACACCCTGTATGAACATGGGTGTATTGTATTGTATTGTATTGAACAATCATGAGCGATCCACATTCTGAAAGTGCGTGGCGATTACTGCTCAGACACCACTACGGACAATACGGACAGTGGGTGTGACAATCAGTGGTGCCATTCATATAGAGGGTGTCGTATATGAGCGGAGAGGCAACAGTACAGCTGAGCGGAGACAACATTAAAACAACAGTACAACTGGCGTTGCATGGAGCTGCAGGCAACCGGACAGCGGAAGCTTGCGAAAAATAAACAATTCGTCACTTCAACGTATAAACAATAGTAAAAGCAACATAAACACATATTCTCATGGTCGAACCCATGCACTAGCGGCTCACGGCGGGCACAGGCGCGCAGTGCGGTAGCGGTACCGGATCACACGTCATGGGCGTTGTCTCAGCATAGGTTGTTATGAGCGGAGAGGCAACAGCACAGCTGAGCGGAGAGACAACATTAAAACAACAGTACAGCTGGCGTTGCATGGAGCTGCAGGCAACCGGACAGCGGAGGCTTGCGAAAAATAAACAACTCGTCACTTCAACGTATAAACAATAGTAAAAGCAACATAAACACATATTCTCATGGTCGAACCCATGCACTAGCGGCTCACGGCGGGCACAGGCACGCAGTGCGGTAGCGGTACCGGATCACACGTCATGGGCGTTGTCTCAGCATAGGTTGTTCGCAATCTAGTTGAAGCCTAAGAAGACGGCCAGTGGGGTCTCACTGCTGCTGAGGCGACCTCGGAGACGATGCGTCGCCCCTCCTGTCGGCGACCTGCGGTGAGCAGGACTCCAGATAGCTGTCTGGCACGTTGCCGACACTGCCAGACGCTGTCAGCAGGCCTCACTGCTGCAAGTGATGTGCAGATGGACGCCAGGTGACTTCGTCTGCAGGCGATTCCGGAGACCGCGGCCTCACCAGGCAGCGCCACCTGCATCGCCATGTCGGTGTTTCTAGAAATGGAAAAATAACATTATCGGTGAAGGACAAGCAATACAATGTATTCTGTTTTCCTCTCTTGCAGGTATACGTAATCTACAATTATCATTGTTCCTATTTCATTCAACTGAACCTGAAAATTCCATATTGGAACATTGTTTGACTAAATTTGTGTAGTTGGGAACAGGGGCGACGCCACGGTGCGACGACTGGAGGGGACATTGACCATTTTGGAGGGGACGAGGACCATTTCAAGTCGATTCTTTCCATGCAACGCCATAGGCGTAATATTAAAATTTTAAAAAGTGGATGGGACGAGATCCCCTCCGTCCCCCCCCCTGTGGTGACGCCCTTGGTTGGGAAGCAGATTCTGATTGTTTGAAATACATGTTTGGCTGAACAGTGCGGAAAATATTTCTTTGATCACCATAGCTGCAACAAAAATACTGAGACAGAAAACATTTGCGCTTACCTGGCTCCTTAGTCAGTCCCGCACAACGGAAGTGGTACCATTTATCGCAGCCGTCGCATCCGACCATCGGTGCTGCACTGATGCTGCTGCACTCCCCACATTCCCAGCACCTTAGGAGCGTCTTGGCTGTGAAAAGACTACATGAGTCATGGCGCATACATGAATAGTAAGATGTTTTATATGTTTAACATCGCATAGCAAAGACACAACAGCTGGGAGTCAAGCGTAAGGACTTTTGACAATGGTGTTTGAACTCAGTGGGGTGAGGTTTGGTTGGTCAAGAGTGGTCATTTTTAGCAATACTGTTTTCGACTACAGCTTTGCTAGCTATGACTACGGTGATGATGTCATGGTAATCAAATTTGACCACCATTATACCAATTTTGCACCCTGGTGGAGAAAACACAAGTTTCAGGTTACGGGAAGTAAGATAGGAAAGTTATTCCGGCAGTTCTTAAAAGAAGACAAAGAATCTTGATTCTGGCTGTTGTAAATGGGGGTCCAAAGTTGAACAGAGCCAGCATTTGGCGCTGAAATTCAAAGTTTGAACACAAAGAAAAAAGGTGCTTGATATCACTATAAAAGTTTATATCAGGGGGAAATGGATGCATTCACGTAAAAGCGCACAAAAGTACTCTAGCAAAGTGGATTACTTAGGTACTGAAAATATCTTGCCAAACAGCTGTTCGGAATATCAAATCTGACATACAGAATTTTCAATGGCCATTAAAATAATATCATATCACCATTTTCCCAGTGAGTGTTGTCATTTTAACTTTTAAGCAAGAAAAGCTTTGCTAAAAATGACGCTTGACGAAGCCTCATCCTACTGGGCTGTCTGACATGTCTCCCTGTAAACAACATGTGGCCCTTATATGGTATATATGATGAATATGTTAATAATACAGAGAAAACATATAATTTTTTTTATGATTCTCCTCGGACGTTGTCTGAAGTTACACATTTGTCTTTTCTGCGCAGCATTTGTGTTTGCCATTTACCGCACCAATGTTCGCCAGCGGTGGTGACTTTTCCTTACCTGCTCACGAAACGTCACACACGACATGACGTCACCCGAAGACGTCATCAAAAAGTCCAGCTCTTAGGCGTGTCCCTCAAACGCTTCTTATTGTTACTTCAACCGCTATTCAAAAACCTGCCCAAGGCCATCTATAGAGCAAAGCAAAACGCTGTTCTGTTTGCTCGTACGCAGTAATTTCCGCCTGGCGGACCAATGAGCGTTGGTGACAGAATGGCGACAAATGGTGACTCTGTCACCATCGCATTGCGTTAGCATGGGACCGCACTGGCTCGTTTCTCAGCCGGACCACTTTGCTTACGTGAGAGTTTTGCTGATTCTGCTCATAGAACACATATGGAGCTCAAACGTTGAGGGACGGTAGAGATGCAACTTTTGACAAAGAAATGTAGAGATGCAAGTAGAAGGTATAACAAATGCATGCTCCTACTTGCTCGCGTGTTACAGGCCCTATGCAAGATGCAGTCAATGTGAGTATGCGACAAGAATGCAGCCTCTCAGTCACAATATTTGTCACCGGGCACATCATATTTTGTCACCATTTACAATGGCACAATGGCAGCTTTTTTCAGCCCTGCGATTTTCTGTAATTGACATCAGAGAGCAGTAGGTATTTTGTTCAACCTGCGTCAGGGCCGTGGTCCGATCGATCGTAGCATCACATATCGGTCGGAGGTGTAGACCGAAGTTTTAAATACAACGCCCCCTCAGTGATAGTTAAGCATTTACAGGGTGGGGCAGAAAGATTTACCTCTTGATTTTCTTAAATATTTCGGCCCTGAACAAAGATATCGAATTGATTTCTGGCACATATATGCAGTAGCATGTCCACTTCTCAGCGACGGCATTATGACTCAATATGGTCACCTTTGTCCTTCACCACTGCCTCGAAACGTTCCTCTGCGGAGGGGCACGAGCGCCGCACGGTGTCCCCGCCAAGATTCGACGGTGCCGTCTCAAGGGCCAGCTTCAGGGCGGCGATTCTGCTGTGTGCTGCTGCACACACCCTCCTCTCCAAGATGGTCCAGATTGCGAAGTCCATCGGGTTCAGGTCTGGACTTGATGATGGCCGAATGTCTTTGTCCCAGACCCCAGGCATGTGGGTCTCACCACGGTTGAGCGCTGTTGGCCGTTTGCGGCGGCGCACCGTCCTGGACGAAGACGTATTCGTCTCGGAACGACTGAGTGACCCAAGGCAAAACATGACACATGTTCCTCCCTGTAAATTAACTTTCACAGCCTCCTTGATGAAGACCAAGGATCCTTTTGAGCCGTCGGATGCGACGGCAGCCCAAACCAAGACACCAGCACGCTTCTGGCGACGAAAAATGGTGCGAATAGCAGGATCAATGCTGGATGAACCATCTGCCAAAATTCTGGCGTTTTGGGAGTGTCTCTGGGGCTCAAGCATGAACATGTTGTCATTGGACCAAAAGAATTGCCTTGTTACCGGCGCTCCTGATCCCCTCCAATGTCTTTTGGGTCCTGTGTAGCTGCTTTTCCCTGGATGCCGCCGAAATTAGGTGCCGATGTTGCACCCTGTATGAAATAAACCCCAAGCCGTCGTTTATGATTCTCCTGGTGGTTCTGGGCGAAACACCGAGATCCCTTGGCAGTTTGCGCATGCTTCGCCTAGAACTTGAAACACCTTCTTGTGCACGATATTAACCAGCTTTTTGAAGCAGCTATCCTTTATTCTGCCTGGCATGGACTTCGTCGACACCAACCCTGTCTTTTTAAGTCATTTAATTACACTGCAAACAGTTTTTACGGCAACACCGAGCTGTTTGGCAACGTTTCAGGAGCTATGGCCACCCTACTTTAGCGACGCAATTTGGGCTCTCTTAGTCATCTTCGCCATAGCTCACCAAGAAATACAGGGTGACACAAAAAAAACGGTCATCACCAAATTTCGAATAACTTCGGAAGTTTTATTCAGATCATCACCAAACTTCGGCCACTTAAGGTCACACCTATGTAGCATACATCCACCAAGTTTCAAGTCTTCACTACGAATACTTTTAGTACAGTGTGTGTTTTACTGACGCTCCACAATGTGCTCCAGGTGAGCGCCACGGCGCTGTCTTATTGTCCATTGTCTTAAATAACAGTAAAACGTGATAGTATTTGTTGTCACCAAAGTCACACACCAAATCATCTTACATACTTTACTTAAAACCCCTGTTTTAACCTTTAAAATTGACAAACTCCAGACCTTGACAAACAAACAAACAAACAAACAAACAAACAAACAAACAAACAAACAAACAAACAAATAGCAAACTCAAGAGCTTAGAGTACAGCCATGCGCGGACGCTCGCATGATAGCGCAATCTTTATCAGTGTATTGTATAATCATGTATAGCATGTAGCACACTGGCGGGTCGAGAAAGGCAGGTTTGAACGCTGGGGGGGGGCATACCCCCAAAAGTGTTTACAAATTCCACAAACTCATCGTATCTCGATTTCTATACGCACTTCTGTGCAGTTTCAAACATACTTTTTCATATAAAAGTTGCTTTGACGTTAGTTTTATTATTATAAAAGCCTAAATTTTTGTCGATTTCGAGCGCTGCGTGGACGAGCATTTGCCCCAAATGACCCCCTGGATCGTCCAGTGATGTAACGTAAAGCTTTTGCAGATTTTCATGTGGCAGATGGAGCAACACTATTGGAACGGCTTCCAACTTAAATGTTCTAACAAGACATACAGCACGGTTTAAAACAAGTTACATGCAAGACCAAAAAAGTGTTGTTTTAGGAGGTGCCTGCTTCTGACCTCATGTAGGAACCTAGACGCGAAACGCTGATTCTGAAACACATTTCTACGCCACAATGAAGACATAAAGGCATTCTATGTACACCACAGACGCGAAAAGCAAAGGTATTTCATAATGCATACTATACAATGGTTTTCATCCCACAGTTCTAAGAACCCCTTAAAAATACATCAACGTATCCTGACTGAAAATTAGCATGCTTGCATATGCCGCTTAAAGACGTCACCAAGTTTTTTTTTTACCCGACATGGACATCATCTAGCATGCAAATGCAAGGAATCCCTCAAAGAAAAAAGACTTTCCGGTCCTACCCACTCTTCGAATACATGAGGTTCATCTTGCGTCACACATAACGCGACACATAACACATAACACCATCCATCGCATATAACACTGGACCTATAAACAGCCTTACGTTCACCTCTGGATACCAGTCACCACATTAGACCAACGGTTACCGACCGCTGGTCCTTTGGTCATCGACCGCTGGTCCTGGTCACTCTCTGACCATTTAGTCATCGACCACTGGTCCTACTGGCCTTGGACCACCGGCCACTAATCCTGGGTCATCAATCAATCGCCATCGAGGCAACAGCATCGATGACTTTGAGCACCACAGCTGACTGCTGGAGCTCGGCAACTCTTTCCTCAGAATACACGTAGAATTAGAGCTCGAACTTAACCACTAGTCCTCGTGTCGTGTCCTCCTTGGAGCTCCAATATTGACCCTTACACCATCCACCATCACCTGGATCAGTACCTACCACATCTCCAAACCCCACTCGACCTCAGACCTCAAAGGTCTGGAACACCTCGTCCCGCATCTCCTCGGGCCAGTACCCGTTCCTGACGACGTTGAAGCGTCCGGTGCGGTAGTCCCACTTCTTCTGAGGAGGTGAAGCCCAGTCCGGCCCGTAGGCGATCCGGAGGTAGTGGTTGGGCTCGCAGGGAATGCCGATACGCAGACCGTCCAGGAGCGACCAGCAGAGCTCAAAGTCCGGGTACGGCCACCTGAGGTGGAACGGAGAGAGCGAGTCAGCGGAGAGAGAGAGAGAGAGAGAGAGAGAGAGAGAGGGGGGAGAGAGAGGGAGAGAGAGAGAGGGGGAGGGAGGGAGGGAGGAGAGAATGGAAGGGAGGGAGGCAATAGAGAGAGAGAGAGAGAGAGAGAGAGAGAGAGAGAGAGAGAGAGAGAGAGAGAGAGAGAGAGAGAGAGAGAGAGAGAGAGAGAGAGAGAGAGAGAGAGAGAGAGAGAGAGAGAGAGAGAGAGAAAGAGAGAGAGAGAGAGAGTGAGAGAGAGAGAAAGAGTAAGAGAGAGAGAGAGAGAGAGAGAGAGAGAGAGAGAGAGAGAGAGAGAGGGAGAGAGATTCATTTACACAGAAAGGATGGCAAAAGCAGAATCAGACATTCAGCACAATTTGTATGACCTCATTCACAATTGCCTAATGTTCATAATGGTTATTGCGACTTTCATAGATTAATCCCACTGAATGCACCTTTTCGACCCTGAACTTATTTCAATGGAAAGTTTGTTCATATTTTTATTATGTAGAGCGGGTGCTATATCAACGAAATAAGACGCGGAGTGTACGTTCTCTATGTATTGGACGAGATAACTATTTTCATTTTCACCTAATTTTATAGACATATTTATTTACTAATGTGTATCCTTTTGTATTTAGTATTTACCGGTACTGCTTGTGGATGATTGTTGGATGATCGGTACTTACTTGTATCTTTCTAATGTTCCTGAGTCCATTCCATTAGTAAACCTCGTGCCATTGGCGTCCGGGTACGAGAAAAACAAATCCAACTTGGTTCCTGAATCATCCACGAGCGTCATTTCAAGGCTGTCCTCTGGCCTTCCAAACAAAAGTTTCAACCGTGGACCTTCAGCCCTGATCGTTTTCAGGAGGTGGTCCACCGTGATGTTCTGTTTCCAGAGACTCTCGACGGCGATTTCAATGTCGACATCGCCCATCGATGGCACGATGTCGCATTGACGGGCGAAACCTGTCGATGGAGAGACGGTATCAAACTATATCAGTAAAAGTTGTATTCTCGCAGAAATGATGAAACAGGGAGACAAAAGGACAGGTAGACAGACGGACAGGCGTACGGACGTACGGACGGACGGACGGGCGGACGTACGGACGGACGGACAAACGGACGAACGGATGAAAGGGACAGAAGGAACTTGGAAGGATGGAGAGACTAGACAGACAGACGGATAGACAGACGGACATACAGAAACACAAGCAGACAACAGACAGACAGACACAGAGACAGACAAATATGCAGACGGGCAGATAGACCTAAAAATACACCATCAGTGCCTAGCATCAAAAGGCGCAGTTTGCCGAGCTAAATTGCGCTTTGTGAGGAGAGAAGCGCTAAGAAACATTAGGCCTTTCATATATAGTCTCACCTAGCAGTGAGCCACTTCCGAGCCAGTGCAGCACGTGCAATTTATCGAGAGCTCGCACCACGGCCGCGGTTAGTCGCCACGCCTTTCGCCGAAAGTTTTCCGCTTCCGGGCTGGTGTCACGTGGTACTTCTTTGTAGTATTCTTTCTGCAGGCCTCGGTAGCAGTCGCGCATTCTTGTGGCGGTGGCAGGTGTGTCCTCAAAACCCCAGCGGTTGTCGCTGGAGAGGATTAAAAAACTGAAAAGAGAACGAAGTGTGAGATGTGGGATGTAACGAAAGTGACTCGTGGTAAATTGAGGGTATCTTCTTCCATTGAGGATCAGGGAAAGGTGAAGGGAGGGGAAAAAGAGAGAGCGAGAGAGAGAGGGAGAGGGAGAGGGAGAGAGAGAGAGAGAGAGAGAGAGAGAGAGAGAGAGAGAGAGAGAGAGAGAGAGAGAGAGAGAGAGAGAGGCAGAGACAGAGAGATTGCGTCGCTTAACAAATTTAATTATTGACTGCCCAGTGCCTATAACAGTACTTCAAAGAGGCAGGACAAAATGCACATACCTCCCACACAAAGTCCCGCAAGGCGCAATCCCTTTCTCGAGTCCCATCGGCTCCTTGTATCATGTGGACGAGAGCGAAATACATATATGCAGATAATGTTTTTATTTTTGGTACTAGACAATCGGTTAAAGGACTTTTGGTGTGTCGAGGCGCCTCGCGTCGCATCATAGATTGATCTCCCATTTCATGTACTTTAATGTTGAAATGTGGAATGTGCATGTTTCATTATGGGGCACAGGAGCTGTAGTTTTGATCCTGTTTAGCACGTTTCGTGGTTGTGTTAACAACTGAATAGTCTGGCCTATTTTGTGGTTAGTTATTAGGTACCACATTGCCACGTGCGGTTGCCGGTTGGGGATTATATCGCCTTGAATGCTTTCACATTTATCACTAATCGGAAAGACAAAACCAATATCTTTAATTCACAAAGTGATATGTAGATTGCGAATCAGTGAATGAGTGTGGTAGGTGTTTCTGAAAATTGGAAATTCTGTTCCGGGAGAAAGCCAATCGTACAGCATTCAGTATCTTATCTCCTTTCTGGGTTCGTTTAATGCGCATATGTTTTGTTTGCTGTATACGGTCCGTAATACATGTGCCAGTTGTCACCATCGCAGTCTCGTCATTACATGTTGTTGCCTCATGTCTCACGAACATGCTGAATGTCGATGCCTGCTGTTGAGATCGTTGACTTTTGCACACACCTGAGGAGGTGGGCCGATGCAACAAAGCGCGTTTGAGATGCACCAAATCACGTTGCAATTTTGGACGGCTCTTCCGTCTTTCAGCAGTGAAAAGCATAAGATCAACGTCAACATGGGTCATGCGGTGCAGAATTCAGCATGAGAAGTTGAAATGAAACTGCATTCTTGGACTTTCATCCCTTTGGTGCATGAGCATAAAAATTACGCATTTCTATATAAAAAGGGACAGCAAGTATTTGTCATTCCTTACCAGCCATCTTCGCTGGATAGATGTTACGTTTTTATGACGGAGGTTCAGTCCCGTTGAATAACGCGGGTTCCGCTACGGTCTCAACTGTCAGCAGCCGACAGTTGGCCGTTCGGTGAATGGAGGTGGTATTTCACGCGAAAAACGTCTAGTCATCATTCGCCAAGGGTGGATCTAGGCACATGCGTGGGGTAGGCGAACACATCGTCAACATAAGCGGCGGAACGGGGGGGGGGGGGGCACCGGGGCACAGTGCCCCCCTTGATTTTGCCATTTTAACATTAGCCCTATGGGCGTTGCATGGAAAAATGGGACCAAAAGTCGACAGTGCCCCCCCCCCCCTAATTGAAGGTGTTCCGCCGCTACTGATCGTCAATGGGCTCGATTATAAATTTATCGATTAGAGCCCAGAGGACAGTTTTACCAACAGAAAAATAGCCGCCTGCCGGAATTTTTTGCCTAAAGACCGCTTCACATATGTACATTAGAGGTTGAAATGAAACTGCATTCTTGGACTTTCATCACTTTGGTGCATGAGCATAAAAATTCCTCATGTAAACACGTCATTACGTTTACGCTCCGTATGTGAAGCGGTTTTTAGGCAAAAAATTCCGGCAGGCGGCTATTTTTCTGTAGGTAAAAATGGCCTCTGGAATGGTAGGTACTTCTTTGCCGACGGGCAGTAAATGTTAGCGAAGGAGTTTCGGCATATAAGCTACGCTACGTTGCGTTTAATTAAAGCTATGTTGAAAAATATTTAGTCAGGACGGTCAAGTCTATATGTACGGTACAGTCATGCTCGTAGGTATGACATCTTTCTTTGCGAGAATCTGATTCAGCATCACCTTGGTCAGACCGTACATTTTTTTTTACCAAACACGGTAAATGCGCGTTGTGGCCTAGTCAAAACTTAGTCAAAACAAACAAAACGAAGACTAATTGGGCGTCAGAATCCGAAGCTACCTGTAGGTCGACTTCAGAGTTCAGACTCATCGTTGTTTCATTTTTTATCAACGGCATTTCAAAAGCTAGCCAAGAAGATAAAATTTACTTCATCGCGATCGTCCTACCACTGACTCTTTGCACATCCAGTGACGTCATTGGGGTTGTTGGATGATCCGACAACCCCAATGGCGTCACGTCACGGTGTAAAAACACCAGCACCACTCACCTCGTGATCAGCACCATCACCACCACCACCAACAGAGTCACCGGCACCAGTCCGTGGAATCCACGGGGCCAGCGTGTGAGCGCCATCCTGCGCCACACTCGTCACCACGCCGCACTACGCCCGGTCGACAACCCTCTCCACGCCAAAGGCGCCGGTAGACTGACCGGCGAGCGTGCCAGCACCTCCGCGGTCGCCGCCGTGTCGTCTCACTATGGAGGCGCGTCGCTCTGGGTAACGGTATACCGTGCCGCGCTGGTGCCTGAGAGGGAGCGTGCATGTCGGTTTGGCGCTGGAGAGAGAGGGGGAGAGAGGAGGGAGGTGTGGGAGAGAGGAGGGAGGTGTGGAGAGAGGGAGGGAGAGAGAGATAGAGAGATAGAGAGAGAGAGTGAGAGAGAGAGAAATAGAGAGAGAGAGAGAGAGAGAGAGAGAGAGAGAGAGAGAGAGAGAGAGAGAGAGAGAGAGAGAGAGAGAGAGAGAGAGAGAGAGAGAGAGAGAGAGAGAGAGAGAGAGAGAGAGAGAGGGACAGGGAATATATCGCAAAAACGGGGACACATTTGGGCGCCGCGCCGGTCGCACTGCACGGCAGGTCTATAGTCAGTTTAGTCACAATAGCCGTTTTCACGACGGGCTATCCGGCGAATGCACCCGATTTGACCAAATCTGCACCTAATTTCTTTTACAGCAAATATCTTCATTTTATGAATTTATTTCAGTGTTTTAATCGATGATGCTCTCTGATAATATGACAAAGCAGGCATACAAGCAATTAGTGCAACCCTAGCTGATAGCTTCTAACAGACACACTGAACCTGATTTGACCAAATCTGCACCTATTCTGTACCAAATGTGTCCCAGATGGCCGTCGTGAAAACTTAAACGGCTATTGAGATCTCCTAGGTCAATTTTTCCGGCTTGAGTTTTTCGGGAGATAAATGTATGCCCATGCTACAAGTCTGATAAATGAATAAAGTCGCAGTTGCAGTGGCGCTTAGTAAGGTGTCGTTCATTGTCTATACATATTCCATCTAATACATGTTCAAAATGACCAGAGTAAGTGCGCATTACAAACGGGCTGCAATGGTGAGCGGATAGGAAAATCCGTTCTTGATACGTACTTACATAGTTACATGCAAATGTAACCTAGGTGATAGTCACATCATGACCCCACCTCACGATCTGGAACCTCGGGTGTGCCCAAAACAAACCTTTAGCTCAAACAGTAGCTAAACCATGAAGGTGATCGCAATGACATATTTGCCGTTACGCCCTCGAGGATTGCAAACAGCTTCCGTTGCGCCCTGCAGGATTGCAAACGGCTTTTGTGTGCAATGGCTAAACATTCGGTGTCCGATTGTTGGTCAATGGCACACAGAAACGTGATGAGGTAAGAAAACACTGCTGCTTACGAAGCCGTTTCTTTGAGATATTCAGCTTCGGTTTGTATTAATGAACTGTAATGATTGTCTCACTTCGCCTCAGAAATGTAACATAAAACAATTGTATATTCATCTTCAGGTTCGTGGTGCCTGTCTACGTAAAATCCAGACTTTGAGTTATCAACTCTGGATTCGGGTCTGATTACTTAATCAGACCCGTTTAGCAGGAATGTAAAATAATCAGTCACTCTACTTTTTAAATCATTAATTCCATTCTCTAATAACAGGAACTATAGGTAATATTTGTAATAAGGTGATTGAGGTAAAAGATATCTCCAGTGAACATGACCACAAGTGATTGCCCAAGAGCCGGCAATATACGTTCTTATGTGTTTCGTGACACGTGCAGTGCTTCAATCCCTAGCGCGTTCCACTGACATTCAGTCAAACCATAAATGACATTGAACATACATAATCTACATTCTTTTCGAACTCCTAGCGCTGGTGGTATACTTCTTGACCTAAAGCATGACCTGACCTGATCTGAGAGATGAATGGCATGCCGGTCGTTCCGTTGTCCGCTGCAGCTGAAATCACGCTCAAATGCCGTGACGGTAGCAGTTTGGACTTACGGGCAGGTTACCAATGTCCTCCCCTACAGAGGGTGGTTGAGATCACTGCTCAGTGCTCACTCCTGCCTTGTCTTTGACGGCTGCGGGGAAATTGTGTGTGGGACAAGACCTTTACAGACCCGATTCAAAACATGACGCGTCATGAAAAATGAGCATGAAATAAATCATGACAAAATAAATTAATTCCTTAAAATGGATGCAAAATGCTTGGGAAAAACCTGAGCATCCAATCATCAGCTGAACCCCAATACCCTCCCGCTTTTCCTCCCTCTAGCTCGTCTGAACCCGCCTTTGTGCCTCTCGTCCCTCACCTGACCGATTCTAATCAGTCATGCGCCTTAGCCGAAATCAGCAGAGCATGACAGAACGACATAAAGTCGCCCTCTACAACTGCAGCGAGTACGCATAGCTAAAATAATCCTGCAATTTGCATCAGCAGGTTGATGACCTGCCTCTGCACCACGCTGCCGCCGCCGGCGGCCGCCGCAGCGCCAAATTGGCGGCTCTCGTAACGGGTCTCCACAGTGCGCTTTAGAGCGGACCTGGGCACGCACAGAGCGGACGGGGCCCCTGTTTCACGGCCGCTGCCAGCGCGCTGCCAGCACACGTGTAAAATTGAGTTTCCATGGAGACATCAACAAACTGGTATCTTCAACACGGCCACAGTTTGTGACGTCAGCTCGAGAAATGCGCTGCCAGCGTGGTAGCAGCGGCCGTGAAACACTGCCCGGAACTGGGCCGGAACTGGGCCGGAACTGCCCGGAACTGCCCGGAATTGGGCCGGTGCGGCGGGCTAGCGTGGACCCGGGACTGAGCGAATCCGAGCCAGAGCGGATCCGAGCCAGAGTGGATCCGGGCTAGAGTGGATACGGGCTAGAGTGGATCCGAGCCAGAGTGGATCCGGGCTAGAGCGGATCCAGGACTGACGCGGATCCATCCAGGACGAGCCTCAGTGACCGGCCGTCCGCCCCTGAGCGTGTGGTCACTTATCGGTCACAGGCTCGACACACGCGCACACACACACACACAACGGTGACAGTTTCCATTTAGTCGGATGATAGGGCACTGATTTACCTGGTGCAGGAGCCAGGAGAGGTTAGAGCTGTTCACCGAGCCTGGGCTAATTTTGTTCTTACGAGCATGATACCTACAAATCTATCAACAGCATATTTTTTCACGACAGCAAAATTATCTGTTGAATTCCTGAAGCCAAGTCACTTCGTTGCCACGTGATTTATTCCATAACGAAATGACTTGATTAGCTCCTCGAACCACTTCATGCGCATGTGATTGGTAAAATAAGGCCGATATGACCACTGACCAGGGATTCCGGAGCCGTGGACATTTCAGGCGGCTCCGGCTCCGGAGAAGAAAAAATCGGTTCTGGCTCCGGCTCCGGCTCCGGGTGAAATGCCACGGTGGCTCCGGCTCCGGCTCCGGCTCCGAGTGAAATGGTCCGGCTCCCGCGGCTCCGGCTCCGGCTCCGGCCGCGAGTTCCGATTCAGTACGTCCCCTATGCGATCAATTAAATACGGGTGGAAGTCGCAGTCCACTACACTGGCTTCAAAGGCAATGGCCGTCACCTGATAACCGGTCCTTGGGTTCTGGGGATGCAGTAGACGTGGAGAGGGAGGAGCAGACAGGAGGTTGATTGCACTATCTGTAAGAATCTTGGATTGCACTACTGTGGGACACTGGAGATACGTATTCAGCTTTTTTCATTCACATGGCCCATGCGACGTACCACGTGTTAACGACCACATGCCTTGTACTGTCAAACCGAACTAGGTCAATTATTTTTTCCTTAAAAAAAGAGCCGGAGTCCGCCCCTTCTTTGACGGCTCCGGCTCCGGCTCCGGCAAAAATGTATCGGATCCGGCGGCTCCACCCTCCGGCTCCGGCTCCGGCTCCGCATCCCTGGATATGACTGAATGATATTAGCTGAAACTGGTAAAGCAATAACTCGGCTTTTGGTGAACAGTACCACGGTCCACTCAAATGAAAAAATGACCGTTTATCCTGCTAACAGTTGGTTTTATTTGCCTCATCCAGTCATGGGTCAGTAGGTACATACATAGGCGTATAGTCAATTGTTATTTATGCAATTTTTTTCCAAGTCGGCACGCGCTGAATTCTCCTCGTGGTAGCACAAATAAATAAACGATGTGCCATGACATTCATCTTCGCGTGGATACATTTCATTTCTCACAGCTCGGAAGCACGATCTATCCGTGCATCACGTGACGAAACGCGGATCATGCTCTCGGATCAGTCTCCGGACGCGGATCGGATCAGTCTCCACCAGCATAACGAATGCTAAATCACTTTGGCCGCTGCGGTTCACGGCTCACCTGCTCGGTGGAAGTTGTTCGTCATCGCCTGCTGAGTCGCTGTTGTGAGTGCGTGGTTTGGGACCTAATTCAATATACCCTGGGTTTGGGAAGCGGGCACTGCCACCGGGCAGCCCCGCTGCCAGGGGTCAGAGTGTCTAGAGCAGTGGTGCGCTATTGGGCGAATCAATCGCCCACGTCGCTGTATAAGCACGGGCCGTGGCTGATTCGAACCATGTACTCAATTAACATGTCGCATGTACCTACAAGTTACTTGCACGGCACCGCAACATAGATCATATTTGCAGACAATGTTAAGTGTTTATTTGTTGAAGTTGATTGTGCTGTACCAAGGAGCTGATGAGCCCGTTGACTTTTTATCAACCGTCAGGATAAACAACGAGCCCGATCTCATTTAATGTCTAAATTATTCATGAGTATCTGCTAACCTGTTGGGTTCCTGTTGCACGAGCCTAGCGAGGTGGGCTATCGGGAGTCCCCTTTGCCAACCACAGCCGCCAGTTCTGGATCGGCCTAGGTTTTCCTTGGATAATATTCTTTATTTTTACCACTGCTGATAACTCGGCCACGCGTGACTTGGCCTCATAGACAAGCTCCCGCAAAGTATCATGTTTTGACAATCCCCAAGTCTTGAGAAAGGGATAGGTCAGTTATGTGGGACCCGGCCATGCAATTGTTTGATGATAGTCGTTAAAACGAGGACGCCGTAGTTCGCCGTAATCCGCTTTTATGCATCTTGTTAGCGCAAAACTGAAGGCACTTAATCTCTCTTTTCATCCACCTGACCAATAGTTCTAACTTCTAAAATGTACCGCCAGAAGCCGAAGGTGTCAAAAGCATGACAAGGACCGGGC